CACTTTCCTCATCTGTAATATGGACCTGCTAACCCCAGAGGTCACCTTGGCACTGGCATTCTGTTCCTTGTCTGAGCTCTGTTTTCCAGAGGACAGTAAAAATGATGATGACAGTTTCTTGAGGGCCTACTATGGCTAAGTGAGTGTGTGAGTGATCCGATTCTCACAGCAACCCCTGAAGTGGGCACTGTGATTATCCCAAGTTTCACAGCAGGAAACTATGGCCCCAGATCACAAAGTTAGGAAGCAGTAGCACCTGGATTTAAACCCTGACATCTGACTCCAGAACTCAGCTCTTAACCCTTTCTCCACACAGCCTTCCTAGGCACTTAAACGAGGTGATTACAACAGGTCTGGTGCTCCTGCTGTCCCCGGGTTGAGTGTCCTCCTCCTCTTGGAAATGGGACCTGAATCACAGGGCAAAATGTTCAGAGGGGCCCATTCCTTCTGTGTGCAGTGAGGGACTAAGCTGCCTGCCGTTCTCCTGGCAGAGCCTGAGTATGTATCTGTGACAGGAGGGTGGATCACGGGTATCTCTCACAGGTGTCTCTCATCTGATCATCAGATATTGGAACTGGAGAGGCCCTTAGTGATCACCTGGTCCTGCCACTTCACATGTGGGGAAACTAAAGCCCAGAGTCGGCAAGGGACTGATCTACAGGGTCACCTGGCAGTTCTGGGACTAGAATTTGGGGTCCTGTTGGTCCACCCAAGATAGCCAAGCCCCCAAGAGGGATGGGCAGTGGAGGTCACGGGCCGGTGGTTATAGGTTGACAAAGGGAGGACATGAATGGAACTTTTGGCATGTGTAAAAGAGGAGAAATACACACAGAGCTCACCAAGAGGCTCATCATTTGGCTCAGAGTGTGGCTTGGCAGGCAGCAGAGGGGCATTTGGTCAGATTTCCTGGTTGGCTGGTGTTTGGGACAATTAGCACAGCTTTTGCCAGTGTGCACACAGGCTTTCCCAGCAGACCTGAGGCCCATGCAACCTGAGACCTGCTCTGCCCTTCCTGGGTGTGAGCTAGAGCACCTCACAGCACCTCTCTGAACCTCAGCTTCCTCATTGGGAGGTGCCATTATGATACGTGTACATTTTTCTTGGGGCTCAAAGGTGCTAGCATGGCCCCCGGGGTGTATGAGTGATGATAAAGGAAAGCTGTCATCACTGTGATTTGTTAGGAGGAGACTTTCCTTAAGTGGGCTCTAGAGCCTTGCTGCCTGGATTCTAAGCCCAGCTCAGCTGCTTTTTAGCACATGACCTTGAGGAAAGCACTTCACTTTTTAGAACTTCAGTGCCCTTATCTGAAAAGCACTGTGAGGCCCTACCCCACAGGTTGTCCTGTGGCTTAAGTGAGATGATGGATGATGCACAGAAAGCTTTTAGACTGGTGCAGTCACATAGTAGGTGCTCAGTAAGCCCCTAGCTCTAATAATAACCTGTGCTATGTATTTGTTGAGCACTTGCTCAGTGCCAGACATTATGATTGTTGTTTTACCATCTGCATTAGCAGACTTCTCTGCACCACTCCCCAATTAATCAGTAGCCATTAGGCCCCGCCACCTTCCACTCCATTCCCACAGTGAAAGTAGAGGCCTAGAGGGGGGAAGTGACTTGCCCAAGGTCACATAGCTGGCTGCTTGGCTGCTTGATGCCTATGTGTGTTTGTCCAGCTGAGTCTGCAGCAAAGCCACTGTACCATTTCAGTCTCCCAGAGAGACAGCCTCCTCTGCCCCTCCCTTCCCCAGAGCCAGCAGCTCCTTGGAGCTTCAAGCTTCATGAATGGCTTGGTTTAGCAATCGGCTGTTAAACATTCATCTCTTACAATTTCAATCCAATTCCTGTAAGTTTATTGGCAAGATGGGGTGTATTAGAGCTGCCAAATTTAATATATCAAGTCTGCGTGTCTGGGATGCAGTTTCTCAGCAGTAATGGGAGAAGAGAGGTTTTATATGTTTTCATTTTGAATGACCGTTCCTGATCCCATTACAGCCCCTGACTTAATGGCTGCTGTCCCTGTCTGCCACAAGAGCAGCTTTCTCCATCAACCTGCTTGGCTGCAGGAACTGTTCAGGAGGCTTGCTCAGCTCCATATTTCTCCCCAGTCTCTTCCTCCCGAGGTGCTTTGTTGATCCTAGAGGTTGGGGCTTTTACTTCTAGCCTGGATGGGTACCTTGTGACCTTGGGAAAGTCATTTCCCTTCCTCCTCTGCGCCTCAGGAACCTGCTATGTGAAGTGAGGGGTCAGAGCATAGGGTGAAGGGTTTGTCTCGGCTTAGCCTTTGCAGAACCCCACTTGATGGCTCTGAGAGGATTTGTTTTTCTTCTGGTCTTGTGGTGGCAAACTTGGGGACCCCAGGGCCAGCTGAGGGTCACTGAATTGCTGCCTACCTTGGGCTACAGATCTCCTGGGTCAGGAGTGATGGCTATGGTCATGATGGCTTGAGGGGTCTTAAGACCCTGAAATGTTCTCATTTCCCTTTGTGACTGGCTAGGGATGCGCCACCTGAGAACTCAGTAATCTCCTTGGGATGCTGTGAGCTGCCTGAGCCCTCTGGCTTCTCTAAGCCTTGAGCTGGCTGTGGGAGAAGAGACATCCCATGGTGGGAGTTTAGGAGGTCTAGGTTTGCCTGCTACTTATCAGCTGTGTGACCTTGGGCAGATCACTTCCTCACTCTGCACCTCTGTTGTCTCAAAGGGAAAATGGGAATTAATTCATTTATTCAATAAATATTTGTCTTTCTTTTCTTTTTTTTTTTTTTAACCTTTGGCAGAAGAAGGAACTTTTATTGAATATGCTATGGCCCACATATTCTTTTAAGCATCTCACATACATTGTCTCATTTCAGTGTTACAATGATCCTATAAAGTAGGTACTGTTATTATTCTCATTCTTACAGATAAGGAAACTGAGACAGAGAGATTAAGTAATTTACCCAAATTCACAGAGCTAACAAGTGGTAGAGCTGGAATTCTAACCTAGGACTATTTGACGCTGGAGGCCATTCTCTTTACCA